GCGGGCGTGTTGGGTGTCCAGTAGGCATGTTGGGTGTCCAGCGGGCGTGTTGGGTGTCCAGTGGGCATGTTGGGTGTCCGGCGGGTGTGTTGGGTGTCCAGTGGGCATGTTGGGTGCCCGGCGGGTGTGTTGGGTGCCCAACGGGCATTTTAGGTGCCTTGCGGGCGCGTTGGGTGTCCCTCTCTGCGTCCGATCCCATCATCAGATAGCGAGTGCTCGTCTGTTTTCTCCATGAATAAAACTTTGTGTTTCCAAATACCTGCCTTTTGTCCTCCCACTGACTGCCAAATACCCGGAATACCCTTTTCCCATCTGGTGGACCAATCTACTGAAGGTCTCCTGTGTAAAAGGGAAGCATGGGAAGCTAACAAAAGGCATTTGCATTAACAGATAATGGCTTTTTTCCCCTTATCTTTTTGTTTCTTTACACGAATGGTAAACATTTAAAGCGTCCACGTTGCAACACGCAGGTAAGACGTTCTCCACTGAAATAGTACAATGTAACTATGGTATTTTGATTCTCATTATAAAGTATCACTGATTGAGTGCTTATAACTATAATGATACGGTGCTGTAAGCTGAATTCTATGATGTATTATGGGCCTCAAAGAGTGTAACTAAAATAAACGCTGGTTAACAAGAAGCACCATCACACCAAAACCACCTCTAACTTCCACATCTGGCACCTCCATCATTTCCCTCGGTGACACCAGCGGGAATGCCTAAATATCAGTTTACCGCCGCTCTCCGCTTCGATCCGCGGTTCGCGCTCTGTGAGAGAAAAGGGCTGATGCATTCGTCTTCTGCCGCTACCTCCAGGCCTGGCGTGCACCACGAGAGCCCGTCCAGCACCCTCACAGGCCTGTTTTTGTTTCCACGTGGTTTTCTCTCTCTCTCTCTCTCTCTCTCTGTGGTCAGAACACTCAGACAGACTGATGAGGAGACACTGCGAAGGTATTCTGTGTTTCTGCGTGCACATCTGCGAGGAGTGGACAGGCGCCGTTAGATCCCGCGGTTCCCGGAGGCCCCCCGAACGCCTCAGTCGGGCTTCACGCGGTGAGAACATAAAACGGCTCTTTGTTCACGTAGGAATCAGAGCTCCGGCGACTCTTTTGAATTGTCAGGTTTGTTTCTGAAAGCTGAAAAGCTGAGCTGCGAAAGCTGTTGACCGTTGAAAGCGTCTGAGCGATTACGAACCCGACGGTTCGCGGCTGCAGCAGCCCGGGGGAGCGTTTTGGTCAGAAGTGTGTTTCACGAGCTGCGATCCAAGTGCTGGTTGAGCCCTTGGGATCGACTACAAGGCAACGCGCACTTGATGTTTGTGCAAAACGAACGCTGCCACAGATTCAGTGGTTGCCCGGCGACAGTTCAGAAGAGACCCCCTGATCCCCGTGATTAGGGTGGGCTGAATGAAGAGGTCACACGGGGTCATGGATGCATGTGACCGTTGAGTTGAGTCTGGCTGGATTTGGAAAGTTCATATTTCGGATGGATCAGAAACCGATGCACAGCTGGTTGCTTTAGCGAGTGAGTGTATTTCGTGTCCTTTTCAGAGGCCTGATGTCATAAAAAGATTTTAGCTGCTGGTATCGTTTTTCTTGTAAAAAATAAAAATAGGCCTGACTGTGTTTTGCTGGGAAATCTTCACTCCTCAACATAATGAAAAGAGGGTAAAAGAATAAAATCAGCATTCTGTCATTATTCAGGTTTAAATCCGATACGTCTGAATATGAATCCCATGTCTTGAGCACATAGACGCCATGTGTTTTTCGAATTGAAAAGCTGAACAGAAAAACACCCACACAGTCGACATAACTGATGTTGTTGGAAGCTCAGTCAAAGGATTTTCCTCTTTTCCTTCTCCCTTTTCAGTCACCGGCTTTCTATTTATATAATTACACATTGTTATTAACCGACCGCTCGGTCCATCATTTTCATCGTGTAGGTCGACGTGTTTTTGACAGAGTAGCACCGCTGCCGGCAGCCGAGGCTCGTGAGCAACACTGCAGACAGGAAATGAAAGATGCACGTGGACGCGAGGAACCAGCTGATGTGCCGGAGTGATGAAGCTGTCAAACAGAAGCAACTCGAGACGGTTTTGAGAGTTCACAATGAGGAGATGAGAGTTCACAATGAAAGGGCAATGTCACAAACACGCGTGGATATTCATTTCTACATTCTCGTTTTAATATGGATGCAAACCGGTGTGCAGGTACTGTGTCACTGTCATGGAGGCCTTGACTAGGCATTAAATATTGAGTTACATGTGGCATAGTGATGACTCATTCAGCACATCTTTCATATCGTGTTAATTATTACCGTTGACCTCAATTTCTTCTTCTTCTTCTTCTGCATCAGTTCTTCTTGTGCATCAACAACACAGAAGTTATGTTTTTCCGTCGATGGAAACAAGATTTGCTTTCCTGATTGAATCACAATCCCCCCCCCAACACGCCTGCGCGCTTCATGTTCTCTGCGGTTTCCTGCTCAGGCGACGGTCGACATCAAGATAGCGACGAGGACGGCAGCTCGACGTGGCCTGATGTCACATCCAAGAGCGCGGCTCCCGTGAGAAATGGTGAGTTTGGGGAGATCGTTTGAGCGATTGCTCGGATCGAAACAAAAGTTTTTTTTTTTTGTGAGCTGCCTTATCTATCAGATGTCAGATAATTCACTGGGAAAATAGAGTTAATTCAAGTTTTTAATCGTGTTGATTATCCCTCTGCACAGTCCTCTTAATGTGTTAAGTTTTCTTCTGAATCAAATAGCAGACGACCAGAATAAGTAAGTAAGCGCATTAGTTTTTTATGGACCCACTAAATGTGCTGCGTCTTAAAACTCATGAAGGATCACATTTGATTAAAGTTTGGTTTTGTACACATTCTGCTTCTAAATTCTACATTTTCACAACTTAGTTGATGATTTAACAGTGAAAGTTAACAAGTTTAATCCGGTTATGCGAAGCAGGAACAGGCGACAGATTATTATTATCAGAATTCAGGACAAAACCAAACCGAGTAGATTACGCGTTAAGATAATTCATCACCAAAGACATGGCGCTTAATTATCATCACTCCACGATTATTATATTCTTAATTATTTGGATTTTTTCACTTTCCCATGTTGCTCGTATCGTGCTATAAACAAACAAGATACACACTTGTGTGTTAATGTGCTGCACTCAGGGCCAGTGACATTTCACGGAAAGTATGGTGGCTGGGAGGGGACTTTCCACCAGGATGCCATCGCTATTCCTAATTCATTATTTAAGTGCACCCGTGATGTTTTAAGTTTCAAAAACCTCAAACTTCTTGTGAAACGTTAAATATCGTTAAAATGAGTGAGATCGAGATCCGGTTGACGAAAAAGCGCCAAATACAAAACCGCGTCATGTGATCACGAAGCCCAAGAAAAGATTGTTTGTGTGACACGAGTCAGCTGACATCAGGACGAACGTCTGTAAACCTTGAGTCCTGGGGTTTGATCCGCCATCCCCGCTCCAGGAATGTCCGTCTCTCAGTCTGCCGCCTTTTATTTGTCGTCCCTTTTCCCTTTTCTTCTTCATGAACATGTAATTTGCGCCGTGATGGATGTTTTTTTTGCGCGGCTGTTTTTCACATTCCCGCTTCCCCTCGTTGCTGTGCCGCGATGGGGAAACCAGCCGGCCGCTCTCAGCGACGGGCCTCCTGCGATTCCCATCGCTGCCCTGGACTCCAGGAGCTCAACCCCCCCCCCCCCAAAAAAACCTGTTCAATCCCCCACCTCCTTCTCTTTGCTCCCCCCCCTCCCCTCCAGCACAATAAATTGTCCTTCATAACGTGGGGGGGGGACATACATGAGTCTAGACTGAGGAGGCGTCCGTGGCTGGCGAGCTGCACGTTTCGGGGGTCGGCCGGTGGACGCTGCGTGGCGGGAAATCTCCTCGCGTCTCGCCTTTGGCCGCCGCCGCTTCGGTCGTCGCCTTGAGCTAATGCCCAGCTCCCCTTCCCTCCTCGCCGGGTAGCCGCTGTGAGTTATTATCTCAGGCTGGAGCAAATATCCCCGCTGAGCCCCCCGAGCTGTGGACGCGCGCACACGTACGGAATCGCGTGCGATTTATGTTTTGATTGCATTTTTATAATAAAGAAATCCCCACAGTGTCTCGCGCTCACTGACTGAAATATGGTTTCACCATGAAGCTGCTCAGGAGCCGCTGATGACTTTTTCATTCCTCCGGTCGCTCAAGGGGGGCCTCCCACAAACCGCACTCTCACACAAGCGCTATTTTTACACGCCGCCTCATGATAACGTCGTAATAATGTTACCTTTTGGTAGCAGACGCGCTTCTGAGGCTTCGTAGGGACACCGGAGGCCGCGAGCTCACCGGGCGGATGAATTATGAGCGATGATGTCACGGCTCCCTTCAGCTGCTGCACCATGTGACTCAATCAGAAGCCGGTCTGCGGTCGCCTACGCAATTAAGTGGTGGCGTGGTGCTCGATGCCAAATGAATGGAAACAGGACTTAATATATTAGACGGATGCTTGAGTCTCTGCTCGAAGGCGTCACTTAAAGAAACCTCAGTCACGGAAAATGAGTTCAGCCTTCGTGCAGGTCGCGATATGCAACACACCGACATATCGCACGATATTGGAACGTTTGCTTGCGATATTCATTTCACATTTAACATTTAACGACTATTTTATTGTCATCAGTGGCATAAATGGTCTAAAGAATTGCAATAATATCGCATATCGCAATAAATGTTGGTGCAATAATTGTTGGTGCAATAATTGTTGCACAATTATTGGCCGCACATTGTTATAACGTTCATGAATTAGATTAACACATATGCACCATCACCCCCCCCCCCCACTACACACAAGGCCCGACACCAACCGGCCTGCAGGAGAAGCCTTTTTGTGTTTGTGTTTGCGCGCTGTCCTCGTGGTTCACAAAGCACGCTGACGCGCCTCTCTCTATCTCGCGCGGGGAGGTATTTAGGCGCCGATGTTGTCAGCGACGCACGCCACTGCTGCTCAGCAGCTCATCTGGACTCTGATCTCAACATGCTCGCCCGCCGCGAGCTGCTCACGCTGACTCTCGCGCTGACGCTCGCTGGTCGAGGTGAGTTCTGTTGTGTGTGTGTGTGTGTTTTTTCCATGCACATTAATGTGCAAACAGTGCACGGAGGAAAAGGTCTGTTTATATCATATTGTTTATCAATTTTAAAGGAGGCCGGTGAGGTTAGCGGGTCACCGGCTCTGCCATGTAATCTGCCTTTACAAAGCTCCTAATGTTCAGTCTCAGAAATGTATTCATGTATTACTGAGCACAACGGTGTCGTTGTACTGGAATACATTATGAGTCGGTTTTATAATATTGTGCTTAACCTCTCAATACACTGCAGTCCACGTGAAAATGCCAAAACCATCAATTTAACACCTGCACGCCACTCTGTCAGAAAGACCCGCGTGTCTAATTTAAAAAGTTACATCAGAAAGCTCAGTGAGGCCTAAAGACAGCGAGACTGCGGTGGAACTATCAAATCAATCAATGTGAGAAGAAACAGAGAAAATAAGTAAAGCAGACGTAGACATCGCCCAGAGTGAGTGACGACGGATGAGTGTAATATAAAAGAACCCCCCCCCAGGCGACGCAGGTGGAATCGTCGGGGGCCACGAGGCGGCGCCGCACACGCGGCCCTACATGGCGCTGCTGGAGCTGCACATGCACAACGGCCAGCACAGAAGATGCGGCGGCTTCCTGCTCAGCGAGGACTTTGTGATGACCGCGGCCCACTGCCGAGCCAAGTCAGTCCGCTCATTGATGAGGCGCAGCGCCGCCTCAAATCTAGATCAAGCTATTTGACAAATACGATGCAATTGCGACATTTTTTTGTTGTTGTTGTTGGGATCATTTAATTTCCTATTTGATTCAGGTCCCACAAGGTCTTCCTGGGAGTCCACGACGTCCACGGTAAAGGAATACAGGTCCTGTCTGTTGCGCAAACGTTCCAGCACCAGGACTACAACGCGACTGATTTCAGAAATGACATGATGCTTCTCAAGGTGGGGGAAATGTTTGCATTTACAAGCGCTGATGAAGCCATTTCAGGTGTTTTTTACAGGATGGTTTTTCTGCTTTTTTTTTTGTAAATCTTTCAATCCTCCAGTTGAGCTCCAAAGCGATTTTCAACAAAAACGTGGCACCCATTGCTCTCGCAGACGAAGGGAACGTCTCTTGGCCAAAGACCTGCCTGGTGTCCGGCTGGGGAAAAACAGAAACAGGGAAAAACTCCGTGGTGTCTTCTAAACTCATGGAGGTCAAGGTCAAACTCATTTCCTTCCGGCCGTGTGACGAGTCCAACTTTTACTGCTCCGAGGGAGAAAAAGGACCAATCCAAGTACGTGTTCGGCGTAGCGTCACGTGGACGAACGAATGTCAGTCATCGATAATTATCGGCATGACTTGTGTCTGCTTCCAGGGAGACTCTGGTGGGCCGCTGGTCTGTGAGGACGGAAAGGCGTACGGTGTCTTCTCCAACGTGTTCGAGCCAAAGTCGAAGGACCCCGCCATCTACTGTTTTGTTAAGATCCCTCTCTACAGAACTTGGATCGATGGCACCATGAAGAAGGCGCGCGGAGGCTCCGGTTCACGCGACGGCTGATTCAATCGGCCACAGACGGGTGTCGAAAGTGTGCATCCTTTTTTTTTAATGTCTCCTTGATTTAGATTTCTAATGCGAGTTGGGTAGATTTCAGTAAGATGATTCATCTGCTTTTTTTAAAAATGCAAATGCTATTGACTATTTTGTTTTTATTTGATTTGTGAGTCTTCTTGTCGAGTCTTTTGAAGGAATAAACTGTCTCTCTCTCACCATGTTCTGCGCGTGAATAGATCCACAGCGAGACAACACCGCCTCCTTGAGGACGAAGCGTGTCGGTGCAGCCTGAAGGGTTCAGTTGGGGGGTCCGCCCTGCATCCCCCTTTTAACGTGTGACACGCGTGTGCGAATGAATCATGTCGGCTTTCAAAGCTCCACACACACTTTTAAATAAACTGGCCTGTTGGTTACCAGCGACGAGAGAATTTCATTGCTATTCATTGGTGCTGCAGTATTGCTGCACTGGCCCCCTTGTCTCGTGTCCCTCGTCCCGTGTGTCCCGTGCGGGTCTTGTGTGGCAGAAACAATGGCTGGTCAATCAGGTGCAAGTCTGATAACTGATAAACAAACCTTATTAATATGTTAAATTCACCACCAGCTAAATACACTTTGGACAATGTTCTTTTTTTGAAAGATGAAAGGTCACAGCGACTGGTTTGTTCAAACACGTTACTTAACTTAAGTCACCTCTTGTCTCCCATGTTCATACATTTAACTCATAATAAGGGGCCCGTGCGGCTCATAGTGGGGGCCACCTTGGTGAAATGACCTTTCCTGACTGTGCCTTTGAGCCAGTAGCTTCAGGGCCTTCTAACGTGTCTTTGCATGGCGTCGGCTCGAAACCTTTCCCCCCGAACGAAGGATCAGCGGTGCGCCGCCAAAAGATTCAACTGGCTCGAGTTTACAAACCTAAAAGGATTCAATAACAGTTGCAAAGTGAATTGTGCTGTGAAGGGTCTTCCCTTTTTTGTTCCATTCGGAGGGGTGTGTTCCTTGTTTTTAGAAGCTCCACCCAGGTCGGTCATCATTGCGTCCACGCCGAGGCATTTTATGAGCTCCATCAACATCACACCACGTTCAGTTGGTTACACCTCGACAAAACTCCCCTTTCACAAAAGAAACCTTCAAAACAACCCCCCCTGATTGTGAAATTCAAAACACGAGAAACCGAGGCGATGCAATGCCGCGCTTCCTGTGGCCTTAACGTGAATAAAATACCACAGAGAATTTAAGAGATAAGCGATGCCTGACGTGATTGTGAATCACCCCGTCGTTTTTGCAAAAAACGGAAACGACGTGTAGCGCGAGCGACCCGAAGCAGGAGAACGGAGAACTCCGGGATCCACAGGAGGCCGCGAGGCTCGCAAGTAGTTCTAACAGACGCACTTGATCCGGTACGGGTCTGATGCGTGCACGCTCCTCCCGAAGCTTTAGGAATCGAACTCTTGCAGACAAATTCACATCTCACAACAAAAGGGTTTCATCAGCATTTCGTCGCTTAGAATCGACGGTTACAGCACCCGGATGAGCACATGAATATATATATATATTTATAGGTAAAATGATAGATAACCAAGCTGAGATGTTCTGCTCTTTCACACCTCGCAGCAGAGGAAATGGTTCAGGATGTTCATCTAAACGTTGATTACAAACAAGATAAACGGCGAACGCGACTAAATAATCAAGACGAGTAAACTGGAATCAGACCTGATGTGCCAAAAATAAAGGTTTTGTATCCAACCAACAGAAATTGAAAGAATTTGATTACATGAGAGTACATTGAATAGAATAGATGAAAAACAACCCTTGGGGTTGTGTCCCTCGGGAAGCTTGACAGCTTGTCCCTCGCACAACTTTTAGCCACACGTTTGGATCCCGAGGAAAGTCGGCCTTGCTAACTATCAGAAGGCCGAATTTCTGTCCCTTCGCATGTCGAGGCGTCCGTGAGCGACGCGCTGAACCGCATTGAACAAACTTGGGTGAGGAGGGACGTTCAGACGAATCTACCGGACTTCCTCGCAGCGCTGAAATACAAGGATTTTATCGCTGAGGTGCAGCAGGCGTTGACTACGGTGCATTCACGAGGATCGTGCATCCAGATGTGTTCTGATGTGGAAGGATCGCAGAAGAGCGGCCGCTCAGACATGTGGAGGGAGGAGCTGCACCTCAGTTAATCAGTTACTACATTAGTCATTTCTGGCTCCAAAAAGCCTCGATCAGCAGGTTGTTTTGTGTTGATAGAATCAGAACTCTGATGATTCATTTGGTTGACGTGGTTTTCTAATCAGCAATCAGTTTCCACGAAACATGTTTTTCAGCGCTACTGAAAGTCCTGCATTCTTAAAGTAACGTAAGAAAGTAATGTTTTTAAGTCAGAATGTACAACTATTTTATATAGTTTTGGACTAACTACATGCAGAATGGGTTTTGTTTAAATGACTTTATATTCTGCAGGGTTGCTCAGTATGTAAGCTAATGTATTCTTTGATGCTTTTGCACTGTAGTAATAATAATATTGTGTAAAGCTAATAATTATTCATGAATAAATGAGTAAAAGCAAACTCATGCCACCACAATGTTACAAATACAAAGTCACTTTCCATCTCTGATACTCCACATGTTTGTAAAGCATAAAGTCACAATGTACCAAAATAATCTACACTCACTACGCACTATTTTTTGCAGCTGTGTGGGGGGGATGACGGACGCTCCCCTCGTGAGTTTGTGGCTGTCAGCCACATCCTTTGCATAGAAGCCCTTCCTTCTCTCCCCGACGCAGGGAAGCTCTTTAAAAGGAGTCGGCGAGCCGCCGCTCTCGGCTCTCAGCATGTTGCTCCCGCGCCACCTGCTCCTCCTGACTCTTTGGCTCGGCCTCCACGGCCGAGGTCACTTTGCTTTTTTTTTCTTCTACATCTTCCAACTCCTCACCCGATCTCATTCAATCCGTTGCCATTGGTCATTTTTTAAGTTTTGGTCAGGCGCGTGATGTTTGCATGTGTTCTTTGTTTTTTTTTCAGCGGAAACCGGGGGAGTCGTCGGGGGCCACGAGGCCGCGGCGCACAGCCGGCCGTACATGGCGCTGCTGGCGGTGACGAAGGCGGACGGTGCGACCGGTTACTGCGGCGGCTTCCTTTTGACGCGGGAGTTCGTGATGACTGCGGCCCACTGCCAAGCCAGGTCACCGCAACGCACTGCGCCCGGTGGCGACCGGTGCATTCTGGGAACTAATTCACCCCTTACAAACGACAAACATTGAGTTTGAGGAATATGCTCCATTGTGAATTATCACATGTGTTCTTATTTTTAACTTCTCTGTCATTTCAGCAACTACACGGTGTACCTGGGACTTCACAGTTACCGAAGGAAAGCTACAGCGCAGAAATTAAGTGTGACTAAATCACACCCACATCAGGACTACGACGACAGTGACTTTAGCAATGACATTATGCTTCTCAAGGTAAGAGCAGACGTTTCCGGGCTTGTGTTGCACTACGTCACGGGGGTTGGTGTTTTCTCACGTGCACGTGCATGTATTCAATCCTTCCATGTTCCTTAAGTTGAGCACCGAGGCAGAAATCACCACCAGTGTGAAACCCATTGCTTTGGAGACGGCGGACGTGGCCGGTCCCTGCCCGTGTGCCGTGTCCGGCTGGGGACAAACGCAGATGGGCGGACGAGGCATGTCCCTCGTCCTCATGGAGGGCATCGTGAAGCTCACCGACGCCGAGGACTGCGCGGAGCTCAAGAGTTACTGCTCCAAAGGAGCGACGGGACCCGGGGAGGTACGTAGTGTTTCGTAGAATTAACGTGGATCGAACAAAACAAAGAAACGTTGGTAAGCGACGACGATCGATCGGTGTCCTCGCGTGTGTGTGTGTGTGTGTGTGTGTGTGTGTGTGTCTCCTTGCAGGGGGACTCTGGTGGGCCGCTGGTCTGTGGGGACGGGGGTGGAAAGGCGTACGGAGTGATTTCCAGCTACAATAAACTTTCGCAAACATATTATTATACCAAGATTTCCAACTACGTGGAGTGGCTGGATTCGATACTGAAAAATGGAACCCGATCCGGCGTTTGAATCGCACGGCTGATCACAATTCACGCCTTTTGCACTAAACGTCTGGACTCTTTTTGCTTCACGCAGATTTATTGGCGCTGTTTGATACGAATGACGCTTTTGGTTGAATGAAATCACCGAAAATGCAGGTTTCTTTCAAGGCCTTTCATGGCACACAAATTCAGTGGTATGAAACCCAAAAGGTTAAATAGCATTACTAGATATAGTATATGTATGTCATACACTGTACCGCTCTAAAATGCAACAATAAATAAAGACTGTTTTTCTTTTGAAACACGACTCGGTGGCTTTCTCACCATCTCTTTGTGCACTTGTGTGTTTGAGCCTGACTTGAATGAACAAAAAGACGACACTGCCTCCTTGTGAACGAAGCTCATCGATGCAGCAGTCACGGCTGAAACGTGTGAACCTGAGCATGTCCTTCATTTATGTAACTACAGATCACTGGAGCGCACTTTTTAGTCATTTCTGGCCAAGACGGTCACTTTCCAATAACGCAAATATGTTTTTATGGGCTTCTTTGGGCATTAAATGAGTTTAGACATTTAATAAGCCCGCGGGATTTGATTACAGCTACCTATTTTTTTTTAAAACAAAAAGTACTTTAAATAAATCAAAAAATCAAAATGCCTGGGGCAAGACGCAAACCAGGACCAGGACCAGGACTGAAAAAGTTTTAGATGTATAAATAATATTCTAATACATTTTCTCGACTGTGTTTTCGGACGGGCTTCCTGGTGGAAAAATAATAATAAGATCGTCAGAAATGTGGCCAACGTGAGAGGTACCAGAGGAGCAGCTCGGCCCGATCCAAGTTCAATGAGGTCGGCGCGTGAAAAAAATACTATTTTTCCTTTTTTTAACCTCACCAAACGAATGAAAGCCGAGTCTGATGTGGAGGACGTAGGTTTTATTGACTTACCCGAGATATTAACAACAAATTGAACACATGTCACCATGCAACGTTGTCACGGTGTGGGTTTTATTTTGTAGTTTCCTGCCTCTTGTGTCTCTGGGTGAAACTTCACTTCCTGCCCTGGTGTGTTTTCTCCTGTGAGTGTCCCTGATTGCCTCCTGCTGCGTCCAGTCACCTGGACCAGCGCATTTACACCAGGTGTGTCCCCTGATCTCGTCGGTTCGCGGTCTGTGCGTCAAGTGTTGTTAGTGTCGGAGACTTGGTTTTGTTTGCCTCCAGGCGGAGATTAGTTACGTGCTAAGTACTTTTGTTTTGGACGACTTCTGTCTTCTGCGATTCGATCCGGTTGGATCAAAGCCTGATTTGGTGGGATTACACTGATCCCAGTCCAAAGAAACCTGCACAGCTGCTTACTTTGTTTGGACGAGCAACTCCTAACGTGCATGAATGGAAAAATAAGACACTCCTCCTCATATCTCCAAGGAAAATGCTTGTGGAACTGAAGGAGAAACAAGGAGGACAACAAAGACAAATAAAGTGAGCGTCTCCTTTTTAAATAAAATCCATGAATAGGCCTCGAGGGCTGCATTCTAATGCGTGCTGAAGGAATTGCTGCTGGAGGGAGGAATAGTGCCTCAGTTCTGCCTGAAGGCAAACTTCTCACATTTTCTGTTTTCTGCAAATATTCCAAATCCAATGGATGAATCCGATTGGTTCACTTCCGAGTTGACCCACAAAACTGTCCTCTCTGCAGCTCCCTGTCCTCATTATTATTAATATTATAACCAATAGTTTATAGGGACATCGTGAGGTCGCCCACACATTCCCCTCTCTATCTCGCACACACACACACACACACACACACACACACACACACACACACACACACACACACACACACGCACACCTGGCTGTAATTGTCCAAAACTCATGTTTTTATCCAACATCCAAATGACCCGCTTCCATCCGTATTTGTTGACATCTAGCCTTTCAAAAGGTCATTAAACATGATGACAGGTATTCAAAGCTTCATTCGGGTTCCTCAACAGAAGCTTGGAAAAACCGTGAAAAGTGTCATTTTCTACAGCCCTGATACCTAAAGGCCCGGTTTTTATTTCTTTCGACCTTCTTCTTGGCTCTGTGCACGTCTGCTGTCTGATGATTCACTGGCACCAATATTTCTCATTATTTTTCTCTTCATCCTGGTGCGCAGCAACGATCACATGTGTGTGGGTGCACATGCTTTCGCTCTACTACGACCTGTTGGCTGCTGGTGCTGCTCTCACCAAATATTGCCAGTTTATTTTTATTCCCGTATCTGATTGGGCCGCAGCCAGAAGGTCAATACTCGTGTCTACATGGAATTGGAGTGAATTGTGAGTTCTTCGTCAGTGCGCGAGAGATTTCTCTCATCTTTTTTGTCTCATTGCCAAACCAAAAATACACAACAGCAGCAAGCATGTGTGTGTGTCCATCCCTTACTCATAGTACTATAAACCCGTTTGGAACATTTTGCCAGTTGGAAATCGCCTGCGTTGCATTCAGATGAGTTCGCAGCCTCAATGACTCAACGTGAGGAATCTTCTGGAGATGTGGATCTTCTAATGGCCTCCACATCCCGGCGTCACTGAATAATTCAGAGGCTGCTGGGCAGCACCAACGGGCTGATATATATTTGTCTCAAAGCTCTTGTTTGTCATTTCCTAAAGTGCTGCATCCTCAGTAAAAGATTTGTCAATCCCCAAATGACCCGACTCTTGCTTTTTCGCTCAGAAGGGCCTTCTGAGTAGCAGCCTGTTGCGACGACCTGAGTGCAGAATGTACATTTCCGTGCGTGGAAGTGGCTTTGACGTAACCCGGGAGTCTGGAGGGAGATTCGTCCTTTAGCTTTGACACAAATGCACAAGGACATTATTTCGTATAAGGGTTTTAAACGTCTCATTAAATCCGAATTAACAAGAAAATTCCATCGGCTGCAAAGGAAAGAGGATGTTGCCTCGACGACGGTGCGGTGGGCCGTGGTTATACTTAATGTACTTGATACTCGGGTATAAATATTCAGTTAAGCTTTTGAGCAGTCGAGCGGTGAAGGACGATCTCAGCCCACTTCTGACTATTAAGGCTGACTTTAGATCTGGTGCCATTAAATTAAAACGAACCCTGCTAAACGCTAATCCCACTCTGTAATGGGACGCATGTTGAACATTTATCATACTAGATGAGGTTCGGGGCTTTTAGAGTCTCTACAGAATTGCAGAAAGGCAAGATGAGGACTTTTCAGGACGTAACAAGCTACTTTGGTTACATCAGCGGGACACTCGGCACACGTCCCCCCCGACTGCCGACATGAAGGAGAAACAAGGAACAAGTACGTTTACCAAAGGGCTGCACAACTATGAGCTACTTACTTGTGCTTTCACTTATTTCAATAATAATGTTGCTTTATTCGAGCCACAGTTATTTGTTACTGTTCTTGTTCATCAATCACGTTAAATAAAACACAAGACAAGCTTATAAGATAAATTGCGTTAAACCAGAACTACCAAAACTACATTGGTATTGATTTAAAATCGAAACAATTCCTTCCTTGCATATAAAACAGTTATATTTTTATAAAACCAATGTGGAAATATGCTTTGCTTGTGATGTACTGATCGTATTTTAAATGCATGTATTTTTCTATAAGCAGGCGTGCATGCTTATATTTACAGATTATATATATTTAATTCAAATAATTTTGTTTATTACAAATTAGCCTCGAAGGGCTTTACAATCTGTACACATAGAACATTGAACAATAGTGTGTGTGTGTGTGTGTGTGTGTATATATGAATATATATACACGCATGTGTACATTGATGGCCTTGGTATAAAGGGGGACCTTGTGCAAACCAGAAGGTTGAGCAATCCGACGCTGTTCTATATTAGGACACTGGGTGGCAGCACTGTGTTTAAATAAATCAAAACTCACAGGACCCTTTGGTGTAATTGAACTCGCTGCATAGTTGGTTTCAAATGTTGGGTTGAAGAACACCTGACACCTAATCTGTTTACTGATGCTACAGACCAGGTGCAGCAAACCTTTGAATAGGACTCAGCACAGAATGTAGCAGGGCTGGAAAATGTGTAAAAGAAAAGGATGGATTACATCGACAAACCCGTTTTTAATCAAGTCTCAAAGGCACACAGTGGAGAAAATGCATTGATGAAGTTGTATTAACTATTATAACATGTTGTACGATAGCTGCAGTCAAATATGCTGTTGTTCGATAGCTGCAATCAAATAATACACTTAAATATATATCAATATAAATGTTCTGTGTGGAGGCGCTCAAGATGTTACGAACCGGTCGGGTTAAAAATAGCAGTGGATGCTGCTGTAGTAAGCACCCAAACTCCTGAGCTACCCCCTTTTTCTACCGTAGCAGCACCTCCTACACACGAGTGCATCTCATGGCTTCCTGTGCAGCACCACATTTTTCCACTGTGGTAGATGAGCGGGGGGGCAACGAAGCGCCACTCACAACTTTAGTCAGGTCAGGTGAAAACCTGCAAAATACCGATTGAGATACTTGAAGAGAGAAAAATGATGTAGAGTACCAGTCGAGAGACACAATGAGAAGATGTGTCCCACCTGACTGACTGGTGCTGTGTACATACATATGCATATGAGTCAATGTGTATATATGGTTGTATCATATGACAGAAGGGGGCACTGTAAGCAAAGCTACTGCAGGAGGCCTCGTGCAGGAGTCTGGACCGGAGCTTCACTGACTGCAGACGACAGGTTCTGTGTTTCCTGCACTCGACTCTGTTTGTTGTGGATGCAGAGCCTTCGGCTTCGAAGTTTTGATGCTTCGCTGGTGGAATCAGCCTGCGATGCTTTAAAAAAAACAACCTAAAATGATCATTTCATCGCGATTATCTTTTTTCTTCTTCTGCACAACAACGATCAATGCACATTTAAACAGCGTCGGCACCGTGGAATCCACGCCAGACGGATGTGTGAGTACCTGGGTTTCCTCCACCACGATGCTCACACATATACATTCAACAACACAGGCCTCAACTGAAAGGTAACGATGCAAAGAAGCTGCCCGTGTGCCTTTAAGAGGGCGAGATCACATTGTTATGCCGGGTTTGTCCACAGGCCGACTGTGGAGGTGGACAGATAGTGGTTCTGAGGGGGATGTGTGGAGGAGAGAGAAGGTGTGGGTGGGGGCGTGTGTGTAGGAGTCTCATAATATGAGTCTCCGGGGGCCGGTTATGGATTAGAGAGAGGAGGTGCAGGGGGGGGGGGGTAGACACTGCGAGGTGGATTAGATGTCCTCTGGATGCATCCCGCGTTCTTTATCGCACGTCCCAGGAAGCTCGGATTGATCCCGCGTTGCGCCACCCACCCCCCGACCTCTCAAAGTGTTTGCTGCCGGACACCTTGGGGCAAGCGCCCAGTTAACGAGCCAATAATTTGTGTCATTATGTGAAGACTGCAGCTGGTGCCACTGATGCTCCTTGCACGTCAGGTCTGGGGACGGAAAGGAGTCTCAGCGCGGCTCATTATGAAGCCGGCCTCTCGTCCTTTGTCTTGGAAGGCTTGGCCTGGATCGCGTATTTATTCCCTCCCCGGCTTCCCGTTTTTATTCTCAATACACACACACACACACAAAAAGAATCAATGTATTAAGTGTTCTCGAGTATGCAGAGTGACGTGCCGCCATTCCCACTCGGTGCCTTCGGCTGTGATTACAGCTAATTTGAATGATTGAAATGCTTCCATAGTGGAGCTGGAGTGAAGTGAAGGGCTCACGCAGATGAAGGGGGAGGAGGCGAGAAAGGCTTGGCTCTACTCCAGGTGGAGGGGGTGAGTCATTCCCTCAAACAGACCGTCTATCAGTGTGCGTGTGCGCGCGTGTGTGTGTGTGTGTGTGCACGTTGTCCAAGTGTTGCAAGTGTTGTCGAGAGAATCAGATAAAAAGTGGCAAAGAATGAATGCCGCTGTGTACATTGTGCGTGTGTGTTTTTCTGTGCTGATTAATGATTAATCTGCGTTCTGCAGACTTCTGACTCACAAACTCAACGTAGGTTGGATTCATATCACATTAGTTGGACCGGTGTGTCATTTATCTGATGTTCTGATGTTTTTTTTTTTTTTTGAGCGGCTAACCAATCGGTTCGTCGAACGACTCTCAGCAGAGGTGGGAAAGTAGCCAGGCGGCTAACGCGTTAGCTTCTGCCAACGCCTGCTCAGGAGAAAACGCTGATGATGGAAGTTACCAACGGATGCTAGCGGGGCAGATGCTAACGGGGCAGAAGCTAGCGGGGCAGAAGCTAGCGGGGCAGAAGCTAGCGGGTCAGAAGCTAGCGGCGGATGCAGCGTTAGCCGAAGCTAGCGAAATCCGTCTTTTTTTTCAGTCAAACGTGTCAGAAGGTTCTGTGGGATTCATTCTCTGTTTGTATCCATTCATGTTTTTCAGTAAACCGCTGCATTACATTACATATGTTTTAGTTTTTGTTTAACTTTTCTCATATTACTCAGCATTAAACTATATAAGTGCAAGAGGAGTTTCAGTAGATTTAAATAACGATTTGACGCTCTCTTAAGTTAACATGTGTTACATCTGTATTCCTTATTGCATCTGGGTCCTGCAGCGTAGCAGACGCCACTGCTTTAATTTCCGTTTTTTTTTCTTTTTAAATTTCCGATGCTTTCTTGATTCGTCACTGGAGACTCATTCACGGACAAAGTGGCAGGTGATTTAGCTCCGAAGCATAAAAACACAACCAGCCACCCACGGCAAACGTTCAGGCGCTCACGGGTTTCCTCCATTGTTCCAGTCGCTCGCGAGCGGCTTCTTATCAGAAGGCACAGACACACACATCTCGCCGTGTTCGCAAAGGTATTGGCTCCGAGCAACTTGCTCGCTTGTCATCCATCAAGGGAGGGAGTGTGGGGGGAGCGGTGGGGAGAGGGGGGGTGTACACAAAGAGGACATTCTGTTCCAGACAAAAGCGAGCAGGCCGGCACGCAACTCCGCCGCCTTCTTCCGCCCCCGCCTTGCCTGTGGACCCCGGCCCACCGGCCGGTCTCCTCCTGACGCCTCTGCCAGACTGTCTCCGTTCTCATGCGTTTTATTCAGCCGTCCGTCCGTCGACACCGGCGAGGAGGCGCAAAAATAAAAAGTTGTCGTCATGGAAACCTGCCGTGGGTTTCCTCCTGTCCTCTCATCAACCCCCCCCCCCTCTCTCACGTCAGCAGACTCAAACACGAGGAGATACGAGCAGTTCTGTAAAGTTCAAACCACCACGTGGTGTATAGAATAAAACTTGTGGTCATGTAACAAAGATAAGACGTTTTCTGCAGGTAGAACCTTTTCCATCCTGAGTGAAACAATTCCAGTCACATAAAGATATCGAGGAATCTGTTTGTTGGTGTCGTAGGAAAAAAACATGATGGATGTCATTGCAAAAACCGCCAAGTAAACACTGCACAGAAAAGGCAAGCGAGCGATACTGAGAGGCTTAATGAGCCAGATGCTGGCTTCCTTTCACAGCTTTCTCCCATTTCAAATAGAAATTTGCATTTCTGTCACATCACATATTAGCAGCGTAGGGCAGTTTTTTTGTTCACGATGAAACTCCCCCCAAGCAGCTACTGATATAATGAAACCCAGATGTGATACTGGGGAGGTGGGGGGGATTACGGAATAAGGCCGAATTCGCTCTGTCTGTGAGAGTCTCCGAGGGTCCCGGCAGAAGGGCCATGGGCCCGTTGACGCAGTGCAGGCTCACATCAAGTGCGCTGTCTCACAGCTGCTCTGATGAAGAGCCTGATGAAGATTGATGCACCGCAGAGGGATTCATGTCTGAGGACGGGACACGCCGCCATGCGTTAACAGGTGGATCGTAATCAAAACCCCCCCCCCACCCCCCCCCCGTGAAGCCGGTGAGGGTTCGCTCCTCTGGGTGACCCCTGCGAGGCCGAGTCTGGGGAAGACGTGTAAAAAAAACAACAACAACAACACTGAAAAGGGTCCTCGAGGACGAGACAAGGAAACGTCCCCTCCCAGTTTACCAGACAGAGCGGCAGCTGCGGGACGTTGCTGTTGTTGCGTTGCGTTGTCCCGAGGACGCCGGCATCGCCTGTCATTTCCCAAGGAAAAACACACCCCTACGCACCAACGCAGGTTGCAGTGGGTGTGTCCCCCCCCACCTCCCCCATGACAAGCTGCTGCCATGACAACGGTCGGTCGGGTAAAGCCGTGCGGCATGAGCCTACATGTCGGCTGCTAATGAAATCATCCCTCTTTTCTTCTCTCTGCGGAACAGGAAAAAACGGAGCGAGGCCCCCGTGTCGTGTCCCCTCCCTCCGTACCTCTTCCTCATCATATTTGTTGCCAGGCTGAGCAGGCGTGTGCGTGTGTGTGTGTGTGTGTGTGTGTGGAATATGCAACGTGAGCGTCTGCATATTCCAGTCAGGTGTCTGGTGACCCTCAATCAATACGCAATCAATGCACCAGATGTAATTGTTCAGGCGCTGATTGCCTCTCGGAGCTGCTTCACCTGAAATCTGCTCTCCACCGTGCCGGTTGGCAATTTCAATGTGGGGGAGGGGGGGGGGTAAAGGGTTGTGGCGTTGTTGTTTTCGGTGCGTTGCTGCTCCGGGGATCAGGCGGCGTGCGTTTTGAATGTTGCCGTGGATGGATGCGCCTGCACATGCCGACTTCCCGTCCTGATCGTGTGAAGCACCGAGCGTGATTGGCATGCGGGGAGAGAAGACGAGCCCAAAGAAAACTGAAGAACAAAGTGTTTGTCAAATTAGTCGATCACCCCCCCCCCTCCCTCCTCAAAGACTGAACGTATTTGATATGATAATTATGTTTATTTATCTTGCAGCTACTTGCTACGCTAATTAGACTTTAACAAGCGTATTAGGCCGAGGTCTGTATGGGAGGGAGGCTTCCTTGTCATGTTGTAGAAGTTGTATTTTTCTCGTCGAGACGCAATCAGCGAAGAGGAATTGTGCACAGAAACAATCAATCCTCTATGTTTGAATCAGCGGGGCCGAGGGTCCTAAAAAAAAAAGATCACTTTTCTCGCGCGGTAATGAGGTGCTCCCTCATTTAATCACCGCGTCTTTATAAAATATATATATATATATATAATTTTTCCTCCTACCGTTGGAGTTCACCCTGCTCTAAATATCTGATGCAGACCGGCTGAATGAGAAGGTACATAGCTGGCATTTAAAAGGAGTCACCACCCCCTCATCTGCCCGCCGCTCATTGTCAGCATCCTGCGTGGCCCATAATGAGAGCGGGCACGCCCAGGCCGTCACACATAGCCTGTGTCCTGGTTAAATGCACAACACCTCTCATCGGGGCGCTATGATTCACTCTGATTCATGCCAGTGTGTCTTCTCTGTGTCCCCACTGATCAGCCGGATGACCGAGGGGAGGAGATAAGGGCTGCATGGAACACGTGTGTGTGTGTGTGGGTGTGTGTGTGTGTGCCAGGCGTGCAAGTGGTAAATTGAACAAAGAGCGGAAGAGATGGAGAGATTGCAAGTGCGCAGCTGAGGTGCTAAATTTGTCTGCCCACTTTGAAGCCCACTTTTACAAAAGGAGGAGAAGAAGAAGAAAAAAAAAAAAAAAAGGCTCACTTGAAGGAGGCAGCGAAGATGAATCAACAATCATTTCTTTCAGAATAACCCTCGGCGGTACATCTGTGATGTGTGTGGCGGCGAGAGTGCGTGTTTCACACGGGCCATTTTGTGCGCAGCGGCAGGTGCAGCTACTTAAAGCCACTACGACGAACTACTGTGATTCTGTGTGGAGTCTGGCGCCCCCTGTGGAGAAAAGCGGTAGTGTCTCCGAGCGCCAGATTTCCCTCAGATTTTTAGAAACCTCTGATTTTTACAGCGTTGAGGGGGGGGTTGTCAATCTGCCCCCTGGCACACCTGCTTCTGTCTGCCCCTCTCACGCGTACTGCAAAGATGTAAAAGCCAAACCACGAGGCCACAAACGGCCAACGTCGTTCGGCTACTGACTATTTAAACCCGCGTAACTCGCAGGGACCCGTGTGCGCGTTTGTGTCCGTAGGCGCTCTCAGTTCTGTTGCACGCCAGCTCCCAGTGGCCATGTGGGCGTGTGGTGGGTAGCTGGGAGTTACATTAATAGCCAAAGGGCGAGCAGGCAGGGCGGGTGGACACAGACAGGAAGGGGAAATACAGTTTGCTGGTCGCCCACCGCTTCCTGTGCGTCTCCCACGCTCGCGGCCCCCGGAGCCGCCTCTAGAAACCAGTTTGTTTTGCTCGCAGCGCGACGGAGATAACGCAGAGCCCGAAAGGTAAACACTGCGACATGAGGAATGCGTCCACACACAAACCCGGCAGCGGCTTTGTCACCGTAGCTCACGGGCGCCGGGGGGGGGGGTGGACTGACCTGCCCACGCTGCCCGGCCCTGTCCCCGCTTTCTGCTTACGAACAATAGACGTCTCTTAAAGTGACGAGGCGTCTCAATCTCATCCTGTCACTAAAGGATCTGCGTCCGCTCACAGTGCACACAACGCGCAACGCAACCTTTACCCGGTCTGCAGTGTAGCTTCCCCTTTCGGAGGAAACGGGCGAGTTTGGCAGTGTCGAGACGCATCCAGCAGAGGTCCTTCTCGTCAAGTGTTGTCGGCGTCCCCCCCCTTCCCGTCTTCAAGCGGTGAACAGGCGCCGAACGGGCGAAGCACGACAACTCAGGTAGTCCAGCGTTTCAGCATCAACAACGCGAGCGAGTGAGAGAATGTTTGCACTGGATCACAAAGGGGACAAGAAACGTCATTGCGGCTTTCTGTCAAATACGAGACTTCTCCCTTTTCGGACGGTTCGGCCCGTCTCAGGGGGACTCCACACCTCCGCCCAGCGCACACCCGCTGCCGCGCTGACAGATCGGCCAGCGAGGAGCCCCCCCCGCCCCCCGGTTTGCAGACACATGCTCTGGTAGGAGGCCCCCCCCTCCCCGCTGCCCTTCTGGGATCCCACATCCCCATTGAACTTTCCACCCACTCAGCAAGGAATGCAGGGAGAGGGAGGGGAAGCGGGGGGGGGAGCGAGAGGCGAGATGAGCACAAAGGGGAAGAGTGAAGAAGAAGGAGAAGAAGAAGAAGAGGAGGAAGGACGGTGTGCCGATAATAAATGTCCCCGGTGACACGTCGGTTTGTGTGGCGCTTGTTGCGAGAACAGGGACGGGAATTCGACAACAAAGGAAGCGATGACACATCACGTGGGTTCGCCATGCAGAAGAGGCCCGTTGGGGGTTTCCTCCCCCACCTCCCCCCACCTCCCCTGCTTTACTGAACAGGTGAGGAATGACATGGACAGGAAAGGGCGTGAGAAGAAAAACAAGGGCGCACACAAGCCGCACATACGCGTGAAAACATTCACACAACACTCGTATTCATGTATATAAATATAATTACCCCATTACAAGCCTTTGCGCCCTTTCAATTGTGTGACAGGACTTCTTAACCCCCCCAAGCCCCGAATCCCTCGGCTGCTCGTTTCACCTTGTTTGCCGCCGCCCGTTGGCGATGCCCCTCCTCGCCGTCGCCCTCCATCCTCCCTCCTCCACAAAAGGGCCCTCGGCGCCGCGGGGTTGAAGGCTGCTGCCGTCGGCGCGCCCGGCGACGCTGCTCTCTCTCGCCGAATTAGGAATTCCACGGCGTAAAGTGGCGGCATTGTTGATGAAAGGTTAGCGCTGTTTTCGAATTCCCCACCCGAATGAAAAGGCCCTCTTGTAGAAAAAGGAGGGATGACATTTTGCTTCCATCTGCCGCGAAATGCCAGAACGATCAAAGCCAAAAGGGGGGGAGGGGGGGGGGGGTAATACGCACGGTGTCGCACCTTGGCGCTCTTTGTTAGGTTATCAGCCCACGGACCTCATAAAACGTCATTACGTCCCTCAGTGGTAATTCTGTGAATACCCCCCCCACCCCTCCGTTTAATGATAAACATTTACATGGTGGCAGTGAAAGGTTTTCAGGGGGTCTTTGCATTAGGGATTAGATTCGGTGGCTGAATTAGTCTGTTCAAGGGCAGAATGGAGGATTGGAAATTCTGTGGGTGGAAAATGAAGAGATTTCATAAGAGGAGGCAGGTGGTGGTGACACAAGACATAAAAGCGCCCTCTCTCTCTCTCTCTCTCTCTCTCTCTCTCTCTCTCTCTCTCTCTCTCTCTCTCTCTCCCTTTTTCAAACCCACCTGTTTGAGATCCGAACGCTTTCGCGAACATTTCGCAAATGTTGCATCCTATTTATTTTCTTTAACGGCGTCCGAAAGGACCGAGCGGGAGAAGCCGGGTCACCGACACCATCGGGTCGGCCCGGTGCGCGCTGCCGCCGCCGCTGCCTCCCCCCCCGGCCCCCCCAGAGGGCCCGAGCGCTCCATGTGTGCGCCCCTCCTCCGCTAGCGGCGCCACACAAAGGCAGGTAACATCAGGCCCGAGGTTCAGTCGTAAGGAAGGATTATCAAAGGAACATGATGTCGAAAGGTAAACTACCCCCCCCCCCCCCGCCCCCCCCCGACAGGCGGACCGACCGGGTTTGCAGCGCAAACAGAAGAGGATGTATTTGCTTTTCATGTGGAAATCAATGGGCCCCGCCAGATGGCGGTTTGTTTCCTCACCATTTACTCCTTGACAAAATGCCCCCCCCCCCCCCCCCCGCCCCCCACCTTGGCTGACGGTGCACAGGTAAGAAGAAAGCCCCCCCCCCCACCCCCCATTCCTTTTCGCACCGCCAAATGCATGACACACGTGCGAGCTACCACCTTCATTCTTTCTCCCAGACGTCTTTCGTCTGCGACGGGAACGCTGGCGAGCGTAACACTTAAAAAAAAAATAACAAAGAGCCAACTGGAAACGTTCCGCCGTCAACAGACAGCAGCCGTTATTGTTGCTATTACTCAGTCACGCGGCGGCGCAGGAGACCAGAGACGGCTGGCGACCGGGCCGCTGATGGGCGCCAACTCGTCTCCTGTGAGAGGTGGAGGTGCTCGAAAGGAACGGACACGTCGCACGAGGGAAACGTCCCGTGTGAGAGGAGAATTGTGTTCGAACGAAGGAGGCCCGACGCCTCTCGTTTACCCGAGAACAAGTATTGTTTGGTTGGATCATTAGATCAGCTCGCCCGCTCCTTGGGGCCCCTTTTTGCCCCGGATGCAAATCTACACAAATTGCTTCGACTGGAAGCCGCTGTGCGATCGGACCTGAGAGCCAGGATTACTTCCCGGATACGATAGGAAACGATCCTCGCTGGAATCAGACCGCAGGATCTGTGGGTTTTGATGGCACCGAGGCTCTCCTCCCTCTGCCGCGCTGAGAGATATTTATAGTCAAACAGTCAGCACTTCTGCTCAACCAAGACGGCGCAGAAGGCGCGCTGCTCCGATTCAGAAGTTTTACTTTTAAATGATTCACACAAAGCCGCAGCTTGCAACCGGAGACGCTGCTTCCACTTTGATTTCTCCTTTTTTTGTGCAAGAGAAGGAGGGGTGAGAAGCTGTGAGGGGGCGGGCGGGCGGGCGACGAAAGTCAGCATTCCAGCCAGGCCAGAGCGGAGGTTGCGCGGGTGGAGGGCGGAGGCGGAGGTGGAGGTGTGGGCGTTGTGGTGGCGGCGGCGGCGGCAGTGGAGGGACGTGGCAGAGCGGGGCAGTTCCTGATTCCACAGCCCTGAGCTCACCACCTCAGCCACTCCCGCTTCTCCTTGACACCCACGGCTTCCCCCTCCACCCACCCGACACCACGTCTCTCCATCCGAGGTGTTAACTCCTCCTTGCTGGGCAGTTCCAGAGCCACTGGCACCACCGGCGGCTTTCAAGGAAGCTTTGGGAGGAGGAGGCGCAGGGCGTGCTGCTAAGGATCCTTACTGGAAGGGAAGGCGGGCGTGCCCGTAAAACCCAAATGATTCACCTCGCAAATGTTTGCAACGCCGCACGATCCGCCTGGCAATTAGCCGTGACCCGGCCCGACGCAGCGCGGGATCAATCGGCGAGGGGAAGGAGCGACGCGAGGGCGAGGTTTAGTCAAGCTGCGCTAAATCACGGATGTTGGCTACACGAGCATTAAAAAAAAGACAAAAAAAAACAACAGCAGATTAGTGACTAAAGCCAGATGTTCCCGTCGTCACCCCGTTGCACGTCGAAGGCTTGTCCACAATGCAGCATCATTGCAGCAAATAACAAGACTCGTAAGCCTGATTGACAGGTGAATAGCAGAGGACAGGAAATTACGACACACACACAAACGGCGCAGTGTGTCGCTGAGGAGAAATAACACCCTAATAAGGGTTCAGGAGAGCAGGAGCATGACGTCGGAAGGCCTTGCTCAACCAGGTGTAGAACCAGGGCCGTGCGGTTTGTACACAAGCTGTGCGAATAAGAGACACTGGTCCGCCTTCAGTCGTCAACGGACGCCGTCCCTCCCCGGCTTCACTCTGCAGGACCAGGCGGTGCATGATGAAGGGCGCCATCACAGTTTGGCAGCTCTGGACTCTGCTGCGTTAACCTCTGCCGGCTTAATGTGCTCTAACGCGCTCGAGTTCCATTTGAACTTCCGACCATCCCGCCGCCCCCAGCGGGCTGATGGGAAACGGCCGCCTTTAGAGTGTAATGAGCAGAGGGGAAAAAATATCGAGGGCTCCTCGAACGTAAAGACTTCAATGGGACATTCCAGTTGTGTGGAAGCTAAAATAAAGCCTTTATTTAGAAAAACGTTCCATTTCTTTGACGTAGTTATTGACTCTTACTTTTCTTTTGCTAAAGAGAGAAGGTGGTTTAATGGCGTGTGCTTCTCTGCCGCCGGGTGAGCGGCGCTGCGGTCCACACATGGAGGACGTCAACGTAAACACACACAGTCAGTGCAAAGGAATGCGGGAGGCATGCAACAAAAAAAAAAACGTCCAAATGAGGGGAGGCGAGGGGGGAGAAGAAGGGGGGAGAGAGAGAGAGTGAGCACAGAGACAACTGGGCGACAAAAAGTGAAAGAGAGGAAAAGCGGGAAGCTGTTAGAAAGTTGAGAAAAAGAGTGTGAGAGGACATTGATGGAAAGATGGAGAGGGGCCTCTCGTGGGGGGAGACAAAAAGGAAAAGGACTAAAGTGGTGGAAGGACAGAACAGAGGCCGTGAGGAGTGTTAGGAAGTCGATGGAGGGAGCAAAACAGGGGCCACGGGGTGGGGGGAGGGGGGGGCTCAGCCTGGAGGAGGAGTGAGATAGCAGAAGAAGAGGGTGAGATTTAGGGAGGGAGGTTCAGTGGAGGCCAAAGGTGGGGGTGGATCGTTCATTCGGAGTCGGATGGCGTGAGGAGGGAAAAGCCATGAGCGACTTCAAAGGGGCCTCGACGGAGACGGGGGGGGGGGGTCTCCGGTGCTTGTATTCCTACGGGAAGGTAGAAGGGCCTCCGCCTTCTTTGGTGCTGGCTGATACTAATTTAGCCGGCAGGGCCCCCCCCCCCCAGAGCCCCCCCCCCCCCTTGAGAGGGGCCAGGTCGTAACCGGAGGAGCTGTGAGTGACACGGCGCAGGGCAGGACGTTTGAAGCGGTCATCACTGGCCCTCGGGACGGGTACGCGCAGGTTCTGTCCTGCTCAACACGCTTTTGTTACCAAAACCAACAGCTGGCATGTGGACGTCGTCGGCGCCCCCCCCCCCCCCCCCCCCCGATCCGCCACCGGGGCAAACGAGCACATGTGGAATGCCTCGCGCGGCCGTCCGAGAGGAGAAGTAAGGAAGTGGGCCGGATAAGAAGGCAACGCCGCGTTGTTAGCGCGAGCCGTTAGCGCCGCTCCACCGAACGGCGGGTCTCAGTGGACACTGCGGGTACGGGGCTAACAGAATCGGACGCGCGGGCCTTTTTCGTGTCGCGCCACTCGGCGTTGACGCAACGACCGCCGACAGACCAGAGTCTGGGCCTTTTGAAAGTGTATTTCACATGTCGTGTGACAGAAACGAACACGGAGCAGCGTTCGTTACAGGAGCGCCTGTGGCTCCGCTGTGTTGGCGCCGTGACTCAGGGG